TCTCCATAGTCCTTTGACAACATCACTAATTGTCCAGTTTCCAAGTTAAACGATATACGAGTCAAATTTAATTCCTGCAAGTCAATGTCCCATGCAGATAGTTGGGAATGCACCTTATTCTCCTCAGTCATGCTCCAATGATCTGCGGCGATCCATGGAATACCTGTTTTTGACCAAAGTACTACCCCCGTACTGGAGTGTAGATCATTAATTTTTGGCTCTATTATGCACACACATCTCCTTGCAAATGCGTCTCTCCAAAACTGAGCTCCAGGCTCACAAGGGCAAGACCTGAGGGATATTATATTTTATTTCCATTATTTCCCCTGTATCTCTCCAGAACTGAACCTCATGCTTATAGGGCTGGAGTTGAGGGATATCATATCCCATTTCTGGTATGTACTATAGTCTGGCACCAAGTGCTAGTGGTAAGCCAGCCACTGTTCTGGGCAGTGTTAGGTTTCCAGAAAAGTTTATTCCACTTACATTAGATGATACCATAGGGGTCTATTGTAGCATTTTCAAATAACCCTACTGGGATAATAGTCAATTTTACCCCAAATACACCTATTTCTGGGTATGTTCTCACAAAACCCCATGGTGTTGGATAGTCCTCAGTTTCATTTATCCCTGCTTCTGTTAATTTAGTGCCATATGGATATGGCCCATTAATTATATTATGAGGATTTAACAATTTGGAGGGGTTCCATGGTCCTTCCCAAGGAATATTATATTTCGGGGAATAACCTGGTATTGTGAGATTCCATACGTCAGCATTATATCCCAGAATCACGTTGGGTGGTCTATGTACTGGTCTGCATAATGTTGCATTGGTTAGCCACGTCCAGTTTTCATCTCTGGGATAATTTTCATTCTTGATCTCCCACTGTTGCCACTTCAACCCCTGACACCTGTAACAAAATTAAATGATTGCTTAGGTCCTTGTGAGACAAAACCGAGACAATCAGTGTGACCAGCGACCTTTGAGTACCCAGACTGTCCAACCAGATCCCCTTTTACAGCTGGGTTAACTCAAGACAAACACATAAACCCAGACCAAGACTGAAACTCATGCCTCTGGGGCCATAGTTAGATGCCTTAACCACTTTGCCCCATGTAGTGCGCTGAAAAGATGTCGGATGCTAGTAATCACTGCTGGTGGTTCTGGTAGTTCCAAATTGGTCCCCAATTCCAGACCAATTACTTCACAGTATGAACTGCCAAATGAGTAACAAGGTAACAGAACATTTCCATGTCAGAGGTTGGTTTGATGGTAAGTGTTTTGGGGGGGTCATGGGGAGGCTATACTTATTATGTTTTCTTTTTCTTCATAGGTCAGCGCTTCTTATTATACTGCACCGGGATCCCTGGGGCACTCAACAGCTATCGTCACGCTTCCCCATTTGCAGCAGCACATCTCTGCTAATATGTACGTAAGAGGACCAAGATGTTATTTTCTGCATAGGTTTGACTCACAAAGCCCTTTTCAGTTGTTATTTGATTTCCTCAAAGGTTTCTGAGAGCTTTCCAGCCAAGGCAGAACATATGCCAAGAGTTTTTCTAAGGTCACACCACAATCTGGAGTTAAAAACAGATTACAAACCTATGTTTCTTTGGATTTGTAGTTCTCTCTTACACATTCTAACCAGCAGATGATAATGTCTTATTAGAACAGTTGATTTCACAGCCTGTCTTTTAAAGAGGGACATAAAATAGTAAAAGAATTTAGATAAAAGGTACTAGCAGCACAAAAGATAAATTCAGAATCTGAACACTTTAGATTACTATGATCACCATAGTGTCACAATCCTAATATTCTGCCCATTTTTTGACCTGCCTGCCTGTTTTTCTATTTCCAAAGCCCATTTGGTTATCAGCAGGCATGTCTACATGTGTCCCTGCAGCACCTTGGTTACTGTGCCATCATTTAGTACTTCCTTTTAGTACTCCAAAAGGAAGTACTAAATGATGGCACAGTAACAGCCTGTACTCCACCATGCATGTGGCACATGGATATATAGTAGCAATGTACTATAACAAGGGAGCGTAGTATCACATGTAGACATGCCCAGCACGGTTGAAATTTTCAAACCAACGTTTTTTACATAAAAGTTAAATATTCTTTACATTTCACTAATTATTCTAGATGAATAAAAGTTTATTGATTTTTTTTGCATATTTTGCATAACCTAAACCTTTCAAAATCTAGAACTGAAATGTGAAAATAAATATAAAATTGTAAATCTCTGTTTGGTTTTCCTGGATGAGAATTAGCAGCATAATTCTTAAACTAAGCAGCCCAACAGTTGCCTATTTCTAATGAGCACCTCGCCATTAACAGCCTAGACCCTGATCCTGGATACATTAGCAGGCATTAACCAGGTTTATAACCTTGCATTGTTCTCCTGTGTAAATCCACAAATTATGCATATGCACAAAGGTATCAACATAGGCTTCAGTCTTGCAAGGCTTTTATAAATGCTTAACCTGAAGAGCAAGACGATAGTCAATGAGACTATTCCAAAACTGTTTCAAGATTAAACACACCTAATTACTTACAGAATGAATCGTATTTATATTTTTATAGAAACAAGCCCCTAATTTGTATAGCTCATTGTTCAGCTCCTATCATTTAAAAACCACGTGCTACCTATTGCTACAAAGCAACTGTACGTCAAAAAGATAAACCACTCTGCATTAGGAAGATTCAGAATGTAGCCCTATCAGTGCAAACAAGAGGAAAAGATCATTATATAAGGAAGGACATTTCAATTTAAAACTTCCAAACAGCTGTTATGAACAACAGGGAGTGAAAACAAAAACAAATGCTTAAAAAAATGATAGAAAAATCCTTGACAGTCTCCCTTATTTATTTTTTTATTTATTTTAATAACACTTGATTCTGAGGGAATCATTGTTGCTGTAGCATCTGTTACTCAGATTAATATTTGGGAACTGATCAGAATTATCTTGAGAGGAGAGATAAACAATGCAATTGAATAAGATGCATCTCTTTAGTACCAAATAAAAGTTCTTAAAAGCTTTGCGGACTCCACAAAAGAATAAAAATGAAAAACAGGGAGAGGAGATTTTTAAAATAAATTTTGTTGGGTTTTTTTTCTTCTCTTTTCTTTCTTGTTTTTCCCCCCCTTTTAGCTGTTTTGGGGGAAGTTGTTGTCATTCTGCCTCATCACCAGGTCCACTGCTCAGCATAAGCAATCTAATTAGAAAACTGGAAGCAATCTAATACTTTAAAGTACATGGGTTGTTACACAGGAGAGAAAGGGAAGAAGGGGAGGTGGGATTATTTGGGTAATGCTTTGCATGGTGGTCATGATCCATTTGCATGCATTACAGTCCCACCCTACTCGGGTACAAAGAGTGACAGGAAAATGCAGTTTAGCAAGTGCTGCTGCTCACCATTTTTAACTTCCAAAGTTAATGAGCACTTTTCAAAGCCCCAATACATCCTTGACTTTGTGTCCTTGATACCATCTTCTGGAGGTGCACCTCACCCACACACCTGTGCTGCTCTGCCTTGGACAAGGTATGCTTTATTCCTGAATCCGACAGTATTTCCTATGTGAGAACAAGAACGGCAGTTCCTTCCTTCCCCCTTATTGCCTAGGTCCATTTGGCAGTGTGTGCTGGCAATTCTGGAACAAAAAACATTGACAACAGCCAGGTTCGTTCTTCACTCCTAGTGGCTTTCTTATATTCATATTCTCTCTGGAAGATGTAGGCACTTTCTTTCCTGCAAAACTTTTTCCATATTTGGGAAAGTACCCAGATATTTGACATGAGTACTATGTGAAGAGGCTTCAGGCAACTAACTTCTGCTCATAAAAGCCAACAGCATCCGTTCCCAGAATGGTTAGAAACAGGGTTGTGTTGTCACAATCTCTTTATATGGCATGAAAAGGGTTATCACTCCATAATAACGTTTGCTCTTCTTTCATTCCCAGGTGTGTTGCCCTCCATTCCTACATAGCTCATGGACCAGATGAGCTGGAGCTGCAGAAGGGAGAAGGAGTTCGTGTTTTGGGGAAGTACTATGATGGTTGGCTGCGAGGAATGTCACTCGTCACAGGAAGGGTTGGGATCTTCCCCAGCAATTACGTCGCCCCCCTTTTCAGGTCTGATTTCCTTATGTGAAATAAAATAGTTGCACAAGGGGTAATAAGAGTGGGTAACACTGGCTTTTCTCATCCCTCTAGCGACATGCAAGGAACATGGTGCCTGTCTCCAAAGCAATATGTTGCCATCTTGGTCATAACTATTCATACCTTACATGTATTAAATTAAGTACTGCTGCCACCATTCTGAAATAACCAGCTCATTCCCTATTATCGTTTAATAATGACTGACCATGTGAGCTACATGGGAATTTCATCTCCCCTTGAAGGTCAGGCACTGTCATTAACAGAAGTCAGACAGCCGATCAGATGGACCAGAGTTCCCTTTGGAGTTGCCATATGGTCCAGATTATACAGACAAATGAACAGTATGGCATCAGCCTTCCTTCCCCACTTTTGCATCTGAAATTTCAGCAGGGAAGTCAATAGCTAACAGCTCTACCGTGGCTTTACTTCACTCTGGGGGTTAGAGACCCTGTTTAATGACATTGGACTGCACAGAATTTGCTTTGTAAGTCTGGGAGTTAAAAAGCCAGCAAAAACTACAGAGTCAGCCCAAAATTTCCTTTATGTTCATTTCAAGTGACTTGTGTCTTCTCTGCAAGAAGGGATGCTACAAACAGAAGACTTAGAATCAAAGTACTCTCTTCTTTGGCTCCAACTGTTAAAAGGTGTTGATTGACCTAAATAAACATGCATTAGCAAGACCCAGAGAGCAATAATGGGAAACATACAATTTGGGAGAGAAAAATATAGATACATCTCAGGTCCCCCTGAGATGCAGTGGAGCAAGATAGACAGTGGAAAGGAGCAGATTAGGAAAATGGCAAAATTGTTGCTACAAATAGACAGTAAGCTTCTTAAAGTAGAAGGAGCCTGTATTTAGGAACATTAAAGCTTTTTCCTTTTCAGAACTGATTTCATTATTGAAAAATTCATTGTGATTGTTACAGCTTCTTATATCTCTTACAGGTAAGGCAGTGATGGGCATTAGAGTAAAGTGGAAGAGAGAGAGAGAGAGATGCAGAGATGAACAGCTGGGGGACCTGTGGGGATAATTTCCAAACCCACTCACTTTCTTTTCATGTGTTATCACATCAAAGCAACACAGTCCTTTCTTATAAATTTGACAGCCCTGTCACACAAAGTTTTTAAGATTGTGATCACTAGGGTGGGAAGAGGACTTATTTGGGCTGATTCAAGGAAGAGAGAGCTGAAAACACAGCATGAGTGTCAGGGATGGATGGGTTTGCTATAGGAGAATCTATTATTGTGCAGAATAGTTCCAAGGAAGAAGCACCCCTTGAGTCAAAGGGTGCTTCTTGAGTCATTGAAAACTGGACTGAGGAGAGCTCTGGAAGATAATCCAGTTCTGGATGTGGTGTGGCAGAGCTATCTTGGATGGCCCCACCTTGTGCTAGAGACAGACCCTATGATCTGGTCAACATGTCAGGATGTCTCTAAGGCTTGTTGCCTTTTGGATGGAAGGGCAATTGGGCCGTCATCTACAGAAGTTCTGCTGCAGCTCAGACTATATAAATTTATCCAGAAGCCCTGACTGGGACCCACAGAAACAGCCTAATTGTGGCCTAACTAACCCAATCCTTCATTGTTACTGATGTTGAGGGGCACATTTGGCTCTTTTTACTTTCCTGGCTTATGTTTATCTGGGCTAAATGGCTCAATTCAAGCTGGAGATGGTTATGCCACTTTAGTCCCAGCATCATCTCTCCAAACGCCCTCCCTGCATTAAAGGGAGCAAGTGATTATTCTTTGTCGTTCCAGCTCATTTCCCTGCAATATAGCCTCTGATAATACCCAGGCCCCACCTCACTGATAAACAGAGCAAACAAACAATCAAAAGCACAGCTCAGCTACCCTAAGTAGCTCATAAAGTGCCTCAACCATAAGTACCAATTTTGGAGCTGCTATTCTGTATCCTCTTTTGGAAATTTCTTCATAATAAATTGATGCCTCAGTTATTTTGATGAATCGCTGCTCCATTATTAAACTATAAATCATTTTTCCACCCCCAAAGAAAGCCACAGGGAAGTAAAGTAAAGTAAAGAAAAGCTGTCTTTCTCCTCCTTCAGCAAAGTTAGCAGAGACCTCCCCTGGCCCACTTTCCCAGGGAATTAGGCGTATTCAGGAGTGTTACTTAGACATCACATAGATGGGGAAGATCGATGGCTGTTTTGGCAATTTACTGGATTCAGGTGAAAGGGCCAAGGTGACCTCTCCAGGGAAAGCAGATGAGGAGAGGAATAATCAGAAGTGACAGATGCACACTGCGGGGCCTGAACAGCAGCTGGCAAAGTGGAGTCAGAGGGCCAAGGAGCGTCCTCGCTGCCTCAGCCTTGTCCTTAAGAATCACCACTCTGACTTGTATGCCGTGGTGAGGAGTCAGTCCTTAGCCTCAAGTGGAAGGTGTGACATTTGTCACCCAGTGCTCACTCTTGCCCAGTTCATTCAGTTCAGGGAAAAGGACTGCTTGTGCCTCCTGAGCACAAATCAATGAGCTCTTTGCTGCACAGAAGTTTTCCTGCAATGTGCTCCTGCCACACTATGGGGAGGAACAGTTCGGGGTGCTGGGCAAGCTTCAGTCACCAAGACTAACATGCTCTACTGAAAACCATTTGCAGCAGTGCCTCACCCCACAACTACCACAGGATTTTTGTTTGGCAAGTATCTGCCTCCGAAACCTGAGTATGGCTTTTGATGGCTTCTGTGCTGCCTGAAGCAAGGAGGTGGAACAAAGCCCATGCTCTGTATAATGCCAGGCCCCTCTCTTACTGAGCTGGTGCTTTGGTGGATGCCAGGCACCTAGAAGGCCTCCTTTCAAAATGCCATTGACACAAAGCATTCTAAGTCATGTCTTTGAAGGCCCAGTTACAACGTGAGAGCAAAAGGGCTGAGAGTACAGTTTAATCAAGAAGCTAAACTGTGCAGGTTCCTGAATGTTTTGCCCTGAACCCCTTTATCCCGGGGAGCTAGTGGTAAGGTTAAAAAATCCTGATCTGGATCTGTGTTTGGCAAATGCCCTGTTTCTTTCCAATCCACTGAAGCAAAATCTACCTGGATGAGTGGGGGATTGAAAATATGGATTTGAACTCTGCAGCTTTAACTCGCTCTTATTTTGCTCTCCTTTTCAATCTGTTAAACCAGGAAGTCATCCAACATCTCAGATTCAAGGATACCTTCATTGTATGCCAGCTGGACGTTATCCACATCCTCCCTTTCCTCCCAAGGAAGCATCTCAGAGAATGGGCCAAGGCAAAGCAGACCTTTGAAGTCTGCTTTGATGCCAACACCCATGACCTCACCAGCAAGGAACATGGCTATGCCAGGCACTCCAGGACAATCGTCCCTGAGGCGAGGACGTGGCAACACTAGGAAAAGTAAGTTCTGGCGGGCAGCTGGCAGGGAGGGACTGTGTTCACAAGTGACTCTTCTCCCTAAGCACTACTGGAAGCCTTTAATTAATGCATTAAGCCAAGGCTGAAGTAATAATAAACAACACACTACAGCTTCTGAAAAGTTAGCAGCTTCAGTGAAAGCACCAGCTAGGCTGAATGCCAACACCCACACTAAGCTCTGCCAATGACAAGGACAAAGACTAGCCATTCTCACAAATGTACTTATTGGGTCACCCGTATATCCTACAGTAAGATGGACTTGGAGAAAGGGATGTGTCAGGAAAGACGGCTTGGTGATCAGATGCGGCCAATGTAAAACATAGATGAATTTGCAGGTCTAGTCAGCCACTCTCATGTGTGCTGTCCATTCTTGCTACGGCAGATGTCCATACTGTTTACAGCAGGAACCATGGCCTTTCACAACAGTCCTGTAGAAATTGGGATTCTGCTGTTGTAGCAATAAAAAAATCCCACAGGACTGAATTCAGTGCTCTCAGAAAATAATGATTCAGTATTTCAGAAGATGCAGTATTTCAGCTTGGCTTCTCATTTTGTAACTGCAAGAAGTTCCACATGAAATTTGTATGAGCAAAGGTAATTGTGAGTGTATTTGACAACACTCAGATATCACATTGTCCTTATTTTTGGACTATACAAGAGGTTAGAGATTACTTTCTGAGTCAGAGTAGGCATGTGTTGTATTTCTTTGACCAGAAGCTTCCTCTGCTGCTCTGTTGATTGTTGTCTTCCACCTTAGATGTGGCTGCCTTTCAAAAAAACAAAGACTTTCTCAGAATGAAGATGCTAAATATAAGACATATTTACCAGCATATCTGTGGCTCTCATAACTGCAATAGCTGACCATGCAAATATCTATAAATTGAGACTCGAATGAGGAATTATTATTACATCCATCTTTGGTGGTACTGACTGTGCCATCTCTGTCATGGTGAAACACTAAAATGGAACTGGCAAAAGAAGCCAGGGCTCCTTCCTTGAACACAGAACAAGGATGGGGCAAAAGGATTGTCATTTTGACTATTCCAAATTCCTTGCTCAGTACACAGAACACCTCTTTGCAGGGGTTTATACAGAGCTTAGCTAGTTACATTTTTTCCATGAGACTGGCAAGGTTTATTTCAGCCAGTTCAGACTGCCTTGGAATAGATCTCCAGCTACATTTGAGCAGCTGAGCAACATTTTCTTAATGCCTTCAGACTGAGCTGCTGCTTGAGATATGCAGTCATAGCAGGGGGTGAGATTCATTTGCAAAGGGCATTATCAACGGTTTAGGCTCAAAATTCGATTTATCTTTAAAGTTGTTTTACCTTAAAAGACTTGTCCCCTCTGTAGTGATTCTAATGGGGCGGGGGGGAGGGGGGGGGAAGGATCAATCTTTTATGCAGCAAGAAACTGCAAAAGAAACTGTGACTTCCAGTGTTGTCACCTGGAAAGTAAACATTCAAATGGAAGAGCCTGAGCTGCAGAAACAACCAATGTGGCAAAACCTGAGGGATGGCTGCTGCAGCCTCAGTTATAGGGCTCATGCTCAGGATTAATGTGGGATTGGTGCTAAGCAAATGAGAAAGGGGTCCCTGCTTCTGTCAAGCCAGGGACAACCAAGGACAGCCAGCACCTCCTTGGAGGCACTCGGCACCTCGCAGACTTTTAGGCTTGTTAGGCTTCTACCTATCCGTTTCAATTTATTGTAGGAGGTCAGTATAGCTTTGCAGAGAGACCTGCCTTTTTACAACATGGAGCCCAACCAGTATATGAGGTACCAATGCCATCACTTATTGATTCAAGAACCTGGGCATGAAAATTCATTGTGCTATGCCAGTGAGAATCAATACCCAAAACAGTAATGCTAAGGTTATGAAGAATGGGGGCAAAGACCCCCAAGAAAATCCTGTGCAAAGCTGTACAGAAGTCAGAAGAATTAAAGGTCTTCCATATGTTTTCAAATATCATGGGCTGAATCCAAGTTACATGAGTTGACAGGAAGGAAAGAGGGGAAGGAAGGCTTCCCCTCTTTTGCATCTGAAACCACTTTTAATGATTAGAGCAAGGGACTAGGGAATCAGAACAACTCAATCCTACTTCTAGTCACTCTGTTCTTTCTAGGCATCATTTCCCCTCATTTGGAACATGAAGGCAATAGGACATTTAATGGTACATCTAGATTGAGGTTCTGCGGTGCAAAAGAAACACACACAAGCATGTTGGGAAAATAAGTTCATTAAGCTTTGAAATTATTCTATGAAAGGCAAAGTCTGATTAACAGGCAATTCTGGAAATGGGGGAAAGGGGAAGAAGTAATTTTTGCTCCTCTGTTATTATTCAGATAGGTCCTTTGCAGATATTGTCTGCTTCTGGAAACATCCAAAGGGAAAGGAGACCCTAAAGGTGGTAGGCATCTTTTTCATGTCTATGTTTTATTTTAAGCTTCATCTCATTCAAAATGATCTTGCTCCCCAGATGGATCATTGCAGAGGCCTGTGCAGCCAGGCACTCCTGTTCACATTGCCGGCTCCCTCCGGCGTGCTTCAGTTGCTGCTGTGCGACCTCAGGCATTTCAACTGTATCTACCACAAGGCACCTTGACTGGAGCTGCCATGGCTGAAGCTGGAGCAAGGCTGAATTCTTCCCATGATGCTTCATCAGTACTTGTGGCCAGGGGCACTGAAAGCCAAGCTCCTTCTGCATGTAGCTCAGTGATCCTGGATGCCAAAGACTCTCCAGCAAAAAGTGAGCCTCCAAAGCCACCTGCATCAGCTCCTCCCTCCATTTTGGTGAAACCAGAGACCTCCCGGAACAACTCAGAAAAGGTACAGTAAGGCTTAACTCCATCCCTTGGATATCTGGCTCAGGACAATCTTGAAAACCCTGCTGGCATTCACATTCGTTTTCAGCCATATAGCACAGACCAAATCCCTGAAGGACTCTACTCCATGATCACTGTGGCTTTACTCAGACAGGACTCTGGACCCACAGGATTGCTGCTAGAGTACAGTTCTCCAGATTTGGGCCCCTAAATTTGTTTCTGATAGTATCTGCCCCCCCACCCCCGTGAATGTGATTCTCTCAGAATCCTGCCTGGGGTCTCTGTCTGCAAAAGTCACTGCTCACTTGGTAAATGCCTGTGGAGGCAGCCATTTACCGAGACCTTCACTCAGGCAAAAGTCCCATTGAAATCAATGCACATTTGAGTTAGCCATGTTCTAAGGTTATTAATCATTTGTATCAACATTTAAATTAAACTGTTCCTGGCAGAGTTCCTTAACTTCTTCTCTGCCATCCTGCTCATGTGTAAATTCCCCCTCCGCTGAACAATGGCACTTCGTAGCTATGAACTTCGAAGCATGTTCAGAGCTACGGCCTCAAGTTTGACACCCACTGGCAGACAGCTCTATCTGCGATCCCCTCCAATCTCTTCATCACCTTCCCTTTTTATCCTGCCTGCCACTCCCTTGGTGTCAGTGGTTATAATTTGGGAGGGTGCCCCCAATCTCCAGAGTAGCACCTTAGGTGCTTTTCTCTGTCCATCTCATAATAGGGTTGGTAGTCTGGCCCAATCCACTTTCACCTTAAACCTGCCAGCTGCCAACTGCTGGCCTCCCAGGTTTGCTCCACTGGGAAGCTATTCTGAAACCTGATTAAGTCTCATTAGATCCTGGCCGTCTCAGCCCGTAACTCAATCTCAGTTGTTCTGTCAACTGTGCCCCTCAATTCCAAGGTCTTGAGGAGTCCAAGTAATGATTCTTAGGATCCCCTTGTCAGCCATATCTCAGAGCATTAGGCCCATTTTCCCCAACTTAATTACCTGAAGTCTTCATACTCCAGGCAGCTTGCTCCCTGAGCTTTCAGCTCTTTACCTGGAAGCTCTGTCATCTGTGTACTCAGCTCAGCCCCAGCCCTCACTGTAGGGGGATTGGCTCAGAGTGAGCCTTCTCCCCAGGCATGTTGTCCGCACTCTACTCTTTGCATTGAATATGCATTATTTGCACTCTGTTCTTTGTATTGGATTGCCTAGACTCCATCTGTCCCAGAATCCAAGCACTAGGGAAGCCTGAATGCCCTCTGAAGCAATCCAAGCTTCCCTTGGGCGTATTTACCCAATGCCCACTCCATCCTAGACAGAGTACACACAGCACCCTTCTTAGGTGCCCTAGTGTCTTGCGAACTAATCATCAACAGCTCCACACTCCCCTAATAACTACCCCATGCCTCACAACTAGCAAACAAAAAATATCAACTTTAATTACACCCTTCTACATACCTTTACCAAAGGAAAACCCACCCCTCTGTTTACCAGCTCCCACCAGCTCCTCAGGGTACCTTACTGTCTGTAGTTTTTCCAGTCTGCAACCTCGTCTCAGAAAACTGTTCTCCCCTTCAGACTGTATGCCATAATGCTGTCCTTAGCCTAGGAGCCACGTTCAGGGGTTACTCATCTGATATCATCAGCAGGTCCCTCAGCTCTGCTGCAGCCATTACCTAATTAATTGCCTGGAGCTCTGAACTCTGCAGCTTTTGTAGCTCCTATTCTTGGCTCCCTCAGCTGCCTACATGTTGATGTTGCAGTTGCTTTAAGTCAGCTGCCTGCAGCTGTTTGCTGCTCTGTGATGCTGCCCTCTCTCCCCTTAAGCAACAGGGGTTACGGTCCCCTGTTACAGGCACTGCAGAATAACTGTTTAGGATGCATGAATCCCTCAAAGTCAAGCCAGATTGAGGCTTCTAGTTAGAATAATAGCTACAAATCAATATTTCCACAGTCCCAGGTAAGAGAGAGCCAGAAGGATGGAAAATGGATTAAAAAAACCAGCAAGAGAGGCTATGCTATCTTGCACACTCCTCCACCACTACAGTTCTTTCTCCAACACTTTCTGTTTTAATTCATGCTCTATATGTATGTAGGCCAGTTTGTCTATGTGGGAGACCAGATTACTCTGGGACCTGGCTCACTCTGTATTCTTCTGGTGGTTTCTCTCTTGTAGAGCTGGTGTTCACACTTTTCTGTATCTAACCATTTCAGCACTGTGCATGATACCAGGCCCATGGGGCAGTCCAAGTCACACTCCGCTACATATGTAATCCATTGCTGGGAAGGTATCATCGCTCCACCTTGGCACCATGGTGCCGAGGTCTCCACTAGAGTAGATCAAAGTAAGAGGTAGAGGCTCGTGTTGTTTTTCCTTAAAACATGGTCATTCTTGATTCCGTTCACATTTCAGCAAGTGAAAACAGTGAGATTTCAGAACTACAGCCCACCTCCATCCAAGAGGCACAGCTCGCAGTCATCCCCAAGTCTCCCTCGTAGCAAAATGGAGCAGAGAGCAGCTGCAGAGGCAGCCCAACCGGAAGCAAACCTGATGGGCCCCGACACAACAGCTCTCTACTCACACAGAATCAGTTCCAGCCCTGTGCACCAGAGGAGGACGCTGCACCCAAAGACGTCATCACTAGATCTTTCTATCCAGGCAGGACAACTGACCTTCCCAACCAAAAAGAACTACAGCAGCTTTTCTGAGAACTGAAAGGTTCATTTCCTTTTATTACACCCCCTTTTCCAGTGGGCTTTTTTTTCTCTGTTCTGTGAGAAAAGCATCTCTCAGACCCAACACCAGCTTGCTTGCTGCCCTTTCCCCTTACAGGGACCATAGGTCCAATCAGGTACTTATACTTGTGTTCCCCGCAAGAGCAAAACTTGTAAGGCACTCCCAACACTGCAGCTCCAAGGGACCCAAGGAGTTGCAAGGATGGGGTCAACACCCTTCTCCAGTTTTATGGTATAGTCCCATTTTCAACACATTTGATTTGCATCCCTCCAACTGTCTCTACAAACTATGGCAATGGATAAGTATCCCCAACACAATGAGTGATACAACAGAAGCCTGCACTGCCACAGTGGGTGAGTGCAAGATCCAAACGTAGAGATTGCAACCCCCTCAAAACCAATGCTCCCAGGCAGTGCTGTAGCAAGGGGAGGAAGGGGACGAGCAGGGTGACCGCCCTGGGTGCCAAAGAAAAGGGGCACCAACAGCCAGGGTGGGGTGCAGGATGGAGCTGCGAGTGGTTTGTTTGGGAGAGGGCACAGGACAGGGGAAGGGTGGCTCCCACCACTGCGTGCACTCCCAGGCAAACATGGGGGGACATGTGCCCCCCGGATCTGTGTGCAGGGGGAGGGTAGGTTGCCACTGCGGGCTTTGCCCCAGGCACCAAACTTCATTGCTGTGGCACTGCTCTCTGGTGTCCCTTCCAGTATTTTGCAGCCAGCCTTACAGAGGTGTAGAAGAGGGAAGATGTATTTGCACACATCAGAAAGAATTAAACCAGCTTTGGCTTCCTCTCTCCTACATGGAAGCCCACAGAGACCAAGATGCTGGTTCATTAGCTTTCCCACTTCTACAGGATAAAGAAACATAAATCAAAATCAGTCAGTTCCTGGCTGAATTTTCAAGTTCCCCTTCTATGGGTTTTTCCTTCAGTTTCTTGAGTCTGGGAGTGAGCTCGTATTCTAATTTGAGAGGTAGTTATTTAGAAAGATAATTCACCCTAGAACCAAAACTAAACTACAGCTGTTTATGACAGTCACAGAGTCTTTGCAGCTATGTGCTTTGGATCTTACTTCTGCTAGTTGATTGGTTTCCTGCAATTACTTGACAGTATAGGCACTACCTCCTAGATGCCTGCAGTTCAACTGCAGTGCTTTTCCTCCATTCATATAATTAGTGGGGGTTTTGTAAGTATCCTAAATGGATTTTTAAGAGCTAGGTCTATATTAAGGTGCATGAAGCATTTATCTAAATAAGAGGAAAGATAGTTGTGTATCTATTGTGACATAAACTGTTCCTTCCTCCTACAACACCCATAAGTATCTCCTACCTTCAGCTGACCTCCCTTTGGCTATGAAGCTTCAGAAAGAATCAACAAAATTGGAAAGTCACATTAGGGTCTTCCAGCTGTGACTGCTGTTTAGCAAAGTGGCACACAATGGGTTTGACTGTTTGTGCTTTGTTTCTAGGGCTGGTGCAAAGACCACCAATTCCCATTCTAGCCAGAGCAAGGGACCATTAGATCTCATAACAACGGCTGCTGTGCTGATTCAAAGACTGTTGTAAACTAACATCCTTGGCTGATTGCACACAAAACCCATTAAATTAACTCCGTACGTCATTTCTGGAGCACTGGGACAGCCTCTGAGAAGGAGGTTTCATTTGAAATTAAGGAAGGGGAACGGATGGGCCCATCTGTTAGTCTACAACATCTTTTTTGTTGTTTTTACATAAAAAAAAAAATTCTGTAACAGCTCAGTGGTCATTTAGGATTTGTGTTTTGATTGGCCTTGGTATGATAATTGTGAACTGTAATCCAACTTCAATTCTTCTCCTTCACATCCACATGCTCCTGGTGCATGGACTATTGGAAAATCTCCTTTAGCAGTTATAAATAGGATCTATATGACACAGTTTGACTCCAACTAGCCATGATATAGGGCTCTATCATTTATTTTAATTATCAGAGGGACAGAATAAGAAGGACGTATCTGACTGCCCACTTTTTCCCCACCCAACCTTTCTCCCTTACCTGAGCACAACATCCCCAAAGGGTAGAAATGCATCTCTAGAGTCTAGAACTGCTCAGAAGTGTTGGGGTCCCTGATCTTTTCATGGATTCAGAGGGCACAATAATTTTAATCTAGTTGTGGATTAAAACAGATGTGACCCCCCACAGATGAAAATTTGGATATAAAACAAGCAATAACAAGGAGAGGGAAAAAAAAGATGATTTGCCCAAAATTCTGAACCCTGATGCCAGAAATGCTAAATAAAAATATTGCTTGGAGGAATGTTAGAGTAAGAGAAAACCCAAATGACACAGGAATTTCCCTCATAGTAGCCAGTATTAGATGCTTCAGAAGATGCAGCAAGAAACCCCACAGTGATCAGGGATGAGATAATCTGACCCCCATGAGGGTCTACTCCTCATACTTAATAAACTGAGATGAGTCTAAGACCTGAAACATGAGGTTCTACTTGCTTTCCAGCATTCAGTTAATGTTAGCTGTTGGGTTTTTTGGGTTTGTTTTTTTTTGGGGGGGGGGGGGGGGTTTCAGACCACCTAAACAGCAGGGCAGTTAGGGTATAGGGAGGGGTTTTGGAATCAGTGCTGTAGCAAGGCGGGGCGGGGGCATGAGTGGGGTGACCTCCCCAGGTGCCAAAGGGGCATCAACAGGCACTGCCCAGCCGTGGCAGGCAACAGAACAGAGCAGCTCATTTGGGGTGTGGGGGCAGGTCATTGCGTGCACCCCCGGGCAAGCATGGGGGCAGCGTGTGCCCCCCAGATCTGTGCACAGGGCAAAGGCAGATTGCCACTGCGGGCTTTGCCCCACCCACAAAATGTCATTGCTACGGCACTGTTTGGAATACTTTATCTATCTGTTTGAAATTGTATGAGGCAGAGATCTTTGTACATCCCTCTCCACCTCAAGTCCTCAGCAGCACAGATAAAAAGCTTACTCCTTCAGTCTGCATTGTGTGCCATCAATTAAGATAGTGCCAAGTAGGTGTAAATGCAAAGTAGCATTATACCCTCAGCTGGCACAGAAGTTAATGATGACACAAAGTGCAAGCTAAAAACCTCAGTCACTTCAATGCTCAATGAACACTTTGGGAAAGAAATAGCCTATTTTATTACTCCTTAAAACAAACAGACAAAGAGACTTGTGCACCAAAAGGTCTAGGTTTGCCCAAATACACACCAAGAGAAATAAAAGCTTAATAGATGCAACAGACATTAAACCTTATAGTAATTTGTAGCTGTAGCTTGGGTTTTTTCCTGTTCATGCCCTGCATCCAAATGATAATTAACAGGGTACTAATGAAAGGATAGCTTGCTTTCTATGACCTACTCAGTAACCTGCTGATGAACTAACCAACAGTTTTCAGCAGCTGTCCTCTCATGAGGATCATTTGAGACAGCTGTGGCAGAGCCACGCATGAGAATTAACTGTGCAAATGGAGTCACTGGCAAATGCTTCAGGTATAGGAAATGCCCGAGAAGAAGCCAGCCTTCACAATGGAGAGGGGATTGCAGGGCAGCTTATGCATTTTACAGCTCTGTTCAAAGCAACTGCATTCATTCATTTCATCCAAAGCCTAGTGTGATAGACATGATTATCCCATTTGTGGAGTCAAAGAGGTAGTTGTTTTGTACATACAGTTCCCAGGGGCCTGACAGCAGTGATCTAAAGCATGTACCGTAAAAGTCAGCCTGCCCTGTGACCATTTGCTTGCTATTAAAGCAGCAAAGGCTTCCTCTTTTGGGACTGTAAGGTCTAGCAGTGCTAATGCCATGGCACATGCTATTTGCATTGCTTCTCAGAAGAGACAGAGCTTTTAAATACATCCAAAGAAAGCTATGTTCCATAAGGGGGAGTTAAACTTCAGCTTCCTGGCGAATAGTGTAGCAATCAGACCAGTAATTGCCATTCTCTTCCAATGCAGGAATTGCACTTGGAGCTTTAAACCTATACAAGGGATTTAAATGGACAGTGAACCATGTCATGAGAGGTCAAGGTGCTAACTCCAGCTGTTGGAATAAGTGGAATGCTGTTTGAAGTATGCAATATTTACCCTTTAAATCTTGTTACATCCTACACTACTGGGTTCAGTGCTTTTTCCTCAGACATGCAAAACACGTCTCTGAACTCATATAGATGGGACAATGCCACAAAGTGTTGTATAGAATGGCAATGATGGTTCATACCTTTCATAAACTTCCCAGGCTCTTCAGCTAAAAATGCAGCCACCTTTGAGGTTGACAGTTCCAATTTCAGCTTCACCATGAAGCCTGATGTCCCATTCATCCACAGCCACGTTTGAGGTGATAGACTGGGAAATGTAAGGCACTTAGATCCTCACTTGTTAGTGACAATTGCCCCTACCATAGAAGTCTACAGGATTTATATCTTCAGAACCTCAAAACAGCAGAGAGAACATGAGAACAGCAAGTCGGTAGTTTCTGAAACTCAGTCAAGAATCCAGCACAAGTTGCATTCAAAGAGGTATTTAAGGAGGAGGCACAGAAAGAAAACAACATATCAGAATTTACCAATGGCTTCAAAAAAGGAAATATAGTGAAGCATAGTCACCTTGTAAGATTAATCCACAACTGGAGTAGATTTTCCCCCTGACTCAACAGTCACAATGGGAATGGGAATGATGAAGTGTTAGTTGCAGAACCCAGTTCTGAGGATACAAAGTTAGGTACCTATGTAGATAGAAACCTGTATAATTGAGCTGGAGTTATTTTCCTTCTCTCTTGCCTCAGCTCTGCCACCCACTAGCCTTTGTGGCCTGATTTTCAGAGGTGCTGTGAACCAGAGCAGCAAGAGGCTCAATGCTTCTTGAAATCAAACTATTAAAGCATAACAAACACCCAAATTTACAGGGCTGCTCCTGCCTTGAGCAGGGAGTTGGACTAAATGACCTCTTGAGGTCCCTTCCAGCTCTGTATTACTATGATTCTATGAAAGGGCCTACCTCAGAACAAGACAATAGCAAGATCCAGCTCTCACCAGCATCAATTCAGGAAGTTCCCTTTCACAGAAAAAAATCTTCTGTATATGTGGATGGAGGGTGGTAAGATGCAGGGACTCATGCAAGGTTGCCCATGAGTCCTCAAGACTGCAAAACCACACAACTCCTAGTTACAATCAGTGATACTCAGACTGGCTTCCACCCGCAAGTAGCTCTTCAACTTACCACCAGTGGTTCTTCTTGGGAAATGTCATCAAAGGGCGCTTCATTTTTTTTTTATTGCATGCATTGGGCATGTCTTTTATTTATTTGAATTTGTTTAAAGCAAGTGTTTGCATATGTAAAGGAAAGAGTTCACCACTCTTAAAAGATTGTCCCCTGGGGGACTGTGCCAATGTCAACTAATGTAGCATAGCTTTTCCTTTTGAGTTGCAGTGTGTTTGCTACAGTTCACAAAGGGATGTAGCTGTTGGGTCCTTTGGTTAACACAGACTGTTCATGTGGCTTCTGTGCCTGAGGCCTGAGTGTAGAGTGGCCATCACAGAGGACAGTCCAGTTGTCCTCTGTCCTCTATTAATACAAAACTGGACGCCTTTATGTCCTCTATTTTTCTTGAACAGGGAACAGGGGAAAAATGGGTAATTTTCTTGAAAAATAGAGGACATAAGGGCATCCTGTTTCATATCAATAGAGGACAGAGGGCAACCGGACTGTCCTCTATGATGGCCACCCTACCTGAGTGTCTCTAGACAGCATAGTCTTGAGCACTCAGCAGTGTATATAGTAAGAAACACCACCTATTTACTGTGATCAAACCACTTGTGGGTTTGGCCCTTGTTCCTGATAAAGTTTAACACCACTGGCAGGATGGGGCGACCAGAAAGCAGCAAACTTTGCTTACATATGCACATGCCTTGAGTCCTGAGCAATGATGGGGAAAGAAAGTGCTGACAGTGAAATTGGTGCGTTGGTAAAATAGCATGCAGCTATTTTGGGATGGGAGCTATCTAAATCGGTGTTTCTTGCGCAGGCTGTTTCAGTGTTTTGATGCCATGGTGATAGGTGCCCTAAATATACCCAAGATAAAGAGAGAGATGGATGCAAAGAACTCAAAGTAGGGTGAATTTTAAAGTGACAGATTTAAAGACCAGATCCATTTCTACTGGCCAACCCCTTTCAGCTGCAAAACAAACCCACCCTCCTGTTTAACACTAGTCCCTAGTACAACTTGTTAAAAGTGAAAATGCTTGGAAAAAAATAAAGTCCAGTTAGGATTTTACAGTTGCATCTGCTGAATACCATAACTACAGACCATCACAGGGAGAAAGGTACCAGGGCCAAGTTCGTCCTTCCTGCTCCAAAAGCACCAGCTAGAGGTAAAACCCCACTTAAGGGCTCAACTGTGGCTTTGTCCAGAGTCCTGTATAAGGGGCAACTCTTACACAGTGCCTACAGTGCCTCAGGAGCTGGGCTTCTCTTAACATCAAATTGCCCAACCTTGCTCTAATGCAGAAAACTCAAGTTGTGATGGAATAACTCCCTGTGTAAACACTGAATTCCAGAGTAAAAGTGAATGGCATGTCCCCAGAAGGAATTATTCCAGTATAGCTGCCCTTTGCATTCATCTTGTTCAGATGTGGGTGAGCATTTACAATGCACGTCTACACTGCACAACAGCGCTGTGCAGAGATATCCAAACCCACTCCCCACTGACTAGCTTGGGTATAAGACAGACACCTTGTTAGCCTAATGTTGTCATGCCTTGCTTCTCAACTACATTAGGCTTTTGTGTTGCTCAGAAGGCTGGGGAATGACAGATGGAGCTCCCCCTTTTTTGTTTTCACTTATTTTTGTGCTTCCTTATCCATCCAAACTAAAATTTGCTGGATATGGCAATCTCTTTCTATTGTTTCTGGCTGTTTGTGTAACTCCTCTGGCAGCTAAAGGGGCTCACTGATGAGCAGCCGAAGATATTTTCTCCTCCCCAGGGGTTGAACAAACTGCCAAAGCATTCCCAGTTCTTGCCAGTCTAGACAGCCAGGCCAGCCCTCTGGCCCTGCTTGCTGTACTGCTGACTCCATGGCCTTCCGTTTTAGTCACAAGATACCAGATAAGTACACAGTACAAAGAAAATCACATTAGCAGAGCCCAAGTATAATTCCAGATACGCTGCAGTGCAATGTGTCTGTATAATGAAAATATATTGTTCTCTGCCTAGCGAGCTGAATGCAAAAGAGCAAGTTGGTCACATAGAGCCTCTGAGAAGCCACAGAGTGCCTTGTTTGTCTGAAGACCATAGAAAGGGATCCCTGGAAAAATGAATAAAGTAGTCATTGGGGACAGAAGGTCTGTTAATGAACCTCTTCCAAGTTCTTGATTGGGGTTTCTTCTCTATCAGCTCATTTTTTATGATTAGTTAATGAATTGGAACTCAGATCAGATCATTCATCAGCTCTGTTTTAATTGCCTGCCTAGCTGTGCAAAGACCTGGAAGTCCTTCAATAAGTAACCTAACCCCTTGAGCTTGAACTGCACTCATGTTTCCTGATGAGGAAAAAGAGAGCAGAGAAGAAACAGAACACTTTAACCAATTCCTTCTACAAGTCTCACTTGCAAGATGTACGTGTGGCCCTAGCCAGAAGCAATTACTCTCTGACTTACCATAGAGACAACAGATCAGCCTCACAATATGCTAGGAGAATTTACCAGTCCAGGCCAACCTGTCCCAGATCCCAATATCCTGCCTGTTGCCATGTGGATAATAGTCTTAAAAGGAATATCTTGCTTGTCCCACATAGCGTTTTATCAAACTGCTTCAGGTGGAACCCGTGCTTTTGCTCATTCCACTCTAGTGTGAGTTTAGTGTTATCTGATGACCTGGATGGCCTGGGATTATACATAGCCTATGTTGGGAGGATACCTGGTTGCTTGGAAAGCAGATTCTAACTCCAACCTTGTTAGGAGTCAGAAGCAAACTGAAAAGTGCTAATAAGGTTTAGACAGGGATTATAGCCTCTGTCAGACGTTATCTATAACCAGTTGTATTGCTGCTTCCATTGACTTCAGCAGGAGCAGGGCTGAGCCCGTCCTTCCATTCCATTCACTTTTCCATAATTACATTGTTGATGTCCTCCAAGTCCTGCCAGACCCAGTAATTTGAAAATGTCAGGCCCCAAAATAATCACAAATGACTTAAAAAATGAAATTAGAAAAAAGGGGGATGGGGTGGCGTGGGGGTGGGATTGGATTCTTTTTGTCTGTCATTTTTAAAAAATCTTTGGGATTTGTGTTTTCAAATTTTTCTCTACCGAAAAAACCTCTATTGAGGGCGAGAAATTCTCTTTTTTTGAATAAAAGCTAAGATTCTCACGTAATTCCAGGAACTAGGATTTTGAAAAAAATGCCAGTTATCACAAACTCATGATAAACTAGCAAAAAGTTGACAATAATAGGCACAATCTCAAACCCTGGTTTCTGTCCTGCTTTTCCAGAGAAAACAGGGGTGTCTTGACACTGGCAACGAGGCTAGCATCTACAATGGATAGTTAGCTGTGTTAGTCGGAAGTAAGGCAGAAGGCAGGGCAGGGGGAGAGCGTACTAAAGAGACTGTGCTGTGTTCTAATGAGAATTAGGATGTGAATAATTTTCTTGGGAGGTAGGACTATACCCAAATACCAGCAGACACAAGGAAACAGTTAACGAGTATCCAGCATGGCCCAGACAAAGCCAGGAAGAATTTGTATGTCTGCAACGTAACAAGCGACTGAAAGATGATGATTGTTCCTCATTGCTTAGCTTGTTTTATCTACATCGGTGCTATTAAAGAGTCTGGGACATACTAGTCCATTTTTGCATCATAGTCAAGTGATAAGTAATGCACCTTTCCTCTCCTGCTTGTAATATTTCACACTGAATTGGCAAGGCTATTTTCTAAAATTAACATTAGGCAAATCCATTAGTCTTTAGTGCATTTAGACTTCTTACCCATTCTGTAGTCTTAGTCACCAGGTATTTTAAATAGGTCACTTTGTTCCAAGTGTTTTATGTTCTTCTCTGATCCTGTTTAATATTTCATAACCCCCCCAAAAAGCTAAATACACTAAAAATTCTAGCCTAAATCTACAAAAGACAGCAAATTAAGTTAAAATTTGAAAACAATGGGGGGAGGAGAAGGAAGGGGGAGGTGGCATTCGACTGACAGTGCTGTCTAACTAAATCTTTGCCCCTCTTTTTATTAGTTACAAGTTAAGGCTCATATCAGCTTTTTCATTTGACCAAGGCTATAGCAGTTTGCAGTTTAAGGTTTCTTTTGTTTGCTAGTTTTAGATTTAGCTTTTTAAATTAAAAAAACAAAACAAAGAAAGAGAGCTCACATACTCATATTTGTCTCAAACTCTTCAGATCTGAGGAGAGAAGCCAGGAGCACCACAGAGCCATTGTACAAATTCTTTGGCAGATGCTCGTGGGTGAACGTGTCCCTGCTGTATTTTAACGACAGGTTCTTGGTTCTACCGTGGCCCCTTTACATATCCACGATACTTGAAAGGTATTGCAAAGTAGTGGGATCCCTGCCAATGAGACAATAATACCCTGACATAAGATTTCTCTGGCACAAAAGGGGCCCACAGAACAGCTACTCACCATCCTTCCTCGGGCCCCCATTTTGGGAGTGTGAGAGGATGTGGCCACAACGTGGCAACAATCATCAGCTGTTCTCGGTGCTGGGGCCACAGTTTGTTACTGAATCCATGGACCTTTACTGAATTGTGCAAAGCACAGCGGGGTCCAGGATACTGGAAGCACAAAGGTAATTTAAAAGCTCGCTCCTCCACTTACCTATACCTTTTGCTGGGAAGAATAAGGCAGGATTTGGCCCACAGATTTCACATACATGCACCTACACACACACGACACGTCACCATAAAATGGAACTGAGTCCCTATGTACATTTATAATGTTTTTAAAATATGAATCATTTACGAAATAAAGTCGCTGACATTTATTCTGTAAATAAATACTCTGTGTAATAAAATTTATGGAAGACTTCCTCCCCCTTTAAAAGAATTCAGACTTTTTAGATGTTTTTTTTTGAATGAGTCTCAATACCTCATTTGTTTCAACACTTCAAAAAGGCCCATCATGAACAGTGTTTAGGACCTCATCCTGCCCAGCTCCAACTAGTGGGGGCTTGTCCATAAGCTTCAATGGGACCTACACAAGCTGATTGCTCTGAATTATATTTTGTATGACATTGAGGCTGGCTCCTGCATAAATTTTACATGGGCTAGAAACCACTGTTTTGAGTGGCATGTGGGAAATGGCCAAATTCACTATAAATTAAAAAATACAAAAAGAGCCAATTAGACAAAATTTCAGCTCAGTGTCTATTAACGGCTTTCACAGCCAGAAGGAGCTATTCCATAAATTATCTTGTCTGAACTCTTGTGCAATACAGACCACAACATTTTGTCCATTCAGCCCTGTATTGAGCCCCAAAACTGCTACAATGAAATGTTACAGCCATATTATAATAAGGAGGAAAAAGGGAAACAATGGCAAATATTTATATAGAGATAGACATATATTTTCTTTTCTTATTTGGTGATGGGGTAGGAGATGAACAGAATATATAATTTTTTGTCTTTTGTTTAACTTGTATAAACTAAATGATGTTTAAACCTTTTCCATAATACAAAGTTCATTTTTAAATGCTTTCCCCCCTCCACAATGTAACATACTTCCTTCGAGAGAAGAAAATGAAAACTTGATGAACAAAATTAATCTTCATTTTCTGTTTTTTATTAACCAGGGAGATATTTATTTTGTATTTCATCAGTTGAAAGGCAATGGTTTTAGAAAGCTCTAACTTGCCGGCAGTTTACTTGTCTAAGTTTATAGCTCTAATGTTTAGTTTTATTATCTGTAGATCATTTAAAAGTTATCTTGACTCAAAAGGATGGCTGCACCTTATACACTGGAAGAATAATTGACAGAACTGGGTCTCAGAATGAGTGCACTGTAAAAATTAGCTTATTAGCATAACGGAGGTTAGCAGATGGACACAGGTCAAGTTTTCTATGCCAAATACATATATTATTCCATACCGTAGAAACTATTGTGTTACCATAAAAACTGTTTTTGCATGAAACAATAAAACAATGTTTATTTTCATGTATTTCAACTGAATTCTATTTCTCCTCTCTGAACAAGAGCACCATCACTGAATTATCCCACCTTTACCATGTATGTCTAGCTACTCTGGGACTATAGTCTGACTTTGGGAATCTAGACAGGGTTGCCATTATTTTCTCCCTTTCCTTCCTATAATTTTGAGGGACAGAAATCCTCAAGCTTGCCTCCAACAACACTAAGTGAGCTAAAAAGAACATAACAGTAATTATCATTACCATGAGGGTTTTCATCGAAGGATCTCAAAGCCCTTCTTCAAGAAGGGCAAATTCAGTCATTCTCATTTTACAGAAGAACAGCAGCAATTTACACTGCAAATTGAAGGGAACCAGTACCCATTTCCTTCCATTTCCAGTTTCATGCCCTGTTCATTGAACTCTGTTTCTTCTTGTGTCTTTGATCCTCTTCTCTTAAATTCTTTTCAGCTGCAGAGTGATTTTTCCACTTCTGTTCTCATAAGAAAATTTCTTCACTATGCACTGAGCTTTCTGATCTTAGTCCCCAGACAGAGAAGGCAGTGCCATACTTCTGGGCAGACATAAGAGCACTGAACTGTGTTAACATGGCTATACTGCAGAAACTGGCACCTGAGATTATTGGGTGTTATATCAGAGCCCCATAGGGCCACTAGGGAGGCTTTGTTGTAAAACACTAATGCATTTTATTTCTAAAAATAATACATTTACATTGCAGGGAGAGGGGAAGGTATCACAACTCAAGTTCTGTGGCTGGACATTTTAAAACTGGAGCATCTATAGCTGTAGGAGCAGTGTTTACTTCGTAGATCTGGGTCGTAGCCCTCCTCTTCAGTTCCCTAGCTGCTTGACAGACAGCAAAAGGCCAGCAGCAATGAACTGCCATCCAGTCTTCACAAAGGGTTCCCTGGGGAGAGAACAAAGATAATTTCTCATAAATGGAATGGCTGCAAATTGGCTTTTCCACCTCACTTCACATGTCCTGGGAAGACACAAGGTCAGATTCAGACCCAAGCCAAAGAATTAACCTGGCCTTGTGTTTGTGGAGGAGAGATCTGATTTTGGCCCAGTATCTAACAGGTTCTTTTAAAAAGTGCAATAGATAAGTAGAGTGGAAAAGGAGAAGATTTAGACCCTGATTGTGTAAGATACTGTGCACCCACAACTCGAATGAAAGTTGATGAGATCTAAAGACACTTGGCACCTCACGAGGTCTTGAAAGAGTCTTTCAGCATGGCTTAAACAATGTCCTTTATTTTCTTTCATCCTGATTACACACAAATGTGTATTTTACAGCATCAGCTCTGGGCTGATTTTACAGCAACCACACACAAACACCATCCTGTTCTTACAAAGTACTTTAAAAACATGAGTAGTTGCTTGGCGTTGGCATTCTATTATACAACAAGATGCTGCCTTTGCCTCAGTGCAAGGAGAAAGGGCATTCTTGAGATTTAATGCATTAGTTCTGCTTTAAAAATGCATCAAGGTAACAGAAAAGATTTTCAGATCAAAAAGGAATTTGGCTGTGTATGAAAACACACCCAGGAGAGGGTGAGGAGTTCCTCTCTTCCCAGCCTGGGTCCCCAATGAACTTTTTACATTTGCGTAATTTCTACATTATCAATATTCAGTGGCATGCACTAGCACACTAATCCATCTGGCCATGTCCACGGATATTAAGCTTCTGTTGCCATGTCTGTTGGAAATGGGGTACTTGAGGAATATGCCTCTCACCATTATGTAAGTCGCACAAAACAAAATAAAAGCACACACACAAAGACTTACTCGTATTCTGTGCCTTTCTCTGACGCCAACTCTTAATGCTAAGGTGGAACCTGGTAGCAACGGGAAACACAGGCACTCCCCATAATGTCTTGCAAGGTTGCATTCGAGACATGGACTGCACAATGTACCACAGACACCTGTCAATAACCACAATCAAAGGAGTGCCATCATCTCAGCCTTAACAGGGAAAACTGGTTGGATAATACCCTAACCTAGACCACCCGATTAGTTCTAACAAGCCCAACCATTCTGAGAGTCAAGCATTTTAAATTAATTTAGAGAACTGCCGTGAAAGAACGCTTGGTTCCAACTGCTCTTTTCTGTGGACCAGTTTCACTGGTCCCATCTCCTCTCCCCAACTACTCAGAGTGCAATTCTCATCACGTAGCTTTCTGCAGAACACCAAGCAGGGCTGGGTAAACTTCCGTGCAATGATCACAATACTGCTCGACAGAGAAGATCCATGCCAGTTTCTATGCTTGCTTTAACCACATAAACTTCATTATTGTTAGAAGTGTGCTGCTACAATTTCCCTAGTCATTGAAGGTAAGAATTTTAAATTTTTGATCCAAGATAGCCAAGCCATGTGCCAAACAGATTGGCCAACCTTTCTAACAGCAAATGGCGTTTTATACCCAGGATCCAATTCTAACCCATTTCCAATTTTTAATAAAGGCAAGATGTTAACTATGTTTTGAAGCCAGGTTGGATTTAGCCCCATCACACAGTGTGCTTAAGATCCTATTTCCGCTATCAATTGCAGTACTGTTTTAACCAATTGTGTTTTCATTGGGTCTCCTAAGAATAATGAGGATAGACCATGCATCTTCAACACTGTGAACCAACAGCCACACTGAAAAGTCATCATCTTCAAAATATCTTTATAGACAGCTCTCAATCCCATTTAGAAGCATTTGTTTTTCTAATTCTTGAGAAAGGTAAAAAGCATTATCATGGCCCCATGCTGCTCATTTAAATGTCTTTTGTTCTTAAATTAGGAATCAATGCACCTAGGAAAGTTTTCCTCTACAGCAGAGTCACAGAACCAGGGCACACTACATGGAAACATGCATTTTATTTGCTTTTATGAAGATAGAGACAATATTTTTCAATAAAATGTAATGCTTCATGCTCTGCTAACCTTGGTCCAGAGTTCTCTTTTTGTGAAATCGCTACATTAATCTAAATGGAAACCTGGATCTGTAATTACTCTAAATATTACACTCTGAAGATGACAAGAGCTAAAAAATATCTTGGCTACAGTCCTCAATCTACCTTACACCTGGGAGCAGAATACTGGCTAGGAAAACATGTATAATCCTGTGTGTCACTAGCTAGAGAAACTAAACCTGGTTCCATTGACCCAAAAAGATATTTTGCACATAGCAAGGACTTAGAAAAAAAGATAAGTTCCCACTTCTACATTTGGCTGAGTCACTAGTGATGATGATCAGGCCTTGCAACTCAAATCAGCCCAGCCAGGACTTGGAATTAAAAAGCATTGGCCCATCATTGACTAGACAACCCATCATTGTGTAGACACCCCACTGATTTGAGGGCACAGTCTGACTTTGTACCTCCATCCAGATTTCAGTTACCTTCAGACAAGTAAATTAAAGCAGTAGCAGCTCCAGGGTATATGCACTCCAACCTGTAGTTTTCAGTTTCCTTACCGTCAATTTAAGTTCATCAGTCTACCAGGCAATTGTAAACCATATTCCTGTTTATTTATCTGACTAGTATTTTAAAATGTTTCCCATAAAATGATCAGCCCCAGCTTTTAGAGTAATGCTCAGAATAAAATTCAGAGAACTAGTACACAGAGAGCACATTAAGCGCCCTATACCTTTGAATCTAACCTTGTTTCAGATCATATCCTTAATGCAATTTAATGGCAATGATTTGCTACTCTTTATATATTATAAAAGACAGATAAAAGAAACCTGGAAGAAAATAATGAGTGAACAAAAAGAGAGAGAGAGAGAGAGAGAGAGAGAGAGGGAGAGGGAGAGAGAGAGAGAAGAAACCCGAACTACTGTTAAGGAAATAAAACATCAAAAGAAACAGAAATCACCGCTATTAGTTGCGCACCTTCCATTTAATGGGTTAGAAATTACCCAAGCAATTTCTTTTAAAGATGAGAGGAAAAACAGTGCCTTCTCAGGAGTCCGTGGCATGTCAGGCTGAGATACAGAAGGCAGGTTCACTACCTTTTGCTTTTTAGCAACTGTTTATATACAAAAGATTTGGGTTATAAAATAAATGTGTTTGTGAACCGACTCCCTTTTAGGTAGGGATGGCAGGAAGCCATTGCTTAATGGCAGGGGTGTTTTGTGCCATATGCTAGGGGGTTAATGCAAACCCTTGCTAGGACACAAAAAAGGAGGATGAAAGGGGAACAGCAACTCAGCCAAGTCCTTTGTGGTACTAAGCATCCATGACTGATTTCCAGAGTATGTGGGTGGACAACACCCTCTTTTGTCCATTCAGGAACTAGCCAACTGCTCTTAAATTGTCCAGTTTATAGTTGTAACATTACAAGTGGCTGTAAACAACAGAAATTCATTTGCAGGCAGGATTTAAAACAGCTGCAGTAGAGAACAGACAATTTAATATACTACTTGCTCAACATCGTTTATGGGAACTTCAGCAAACTGAAAAAGAAAGTATATTTGTTTGAAGGTCTTCAACTCGCATCATAGATACACATCCAGTTATTTCTCTTGATTAGCCTTCCATATTCTAGATTAGGGCTGTCCAGCTTCTAAGTGGCCTGGAGCTACAAGCCTCGCAGCCTCCACAGTGGGGGTCAGGGGTCCCCCAGAGCTCCTCCTTAGGGTTACTCTAATTCCAGTTCCAAAAAAGAGGACATCTGTTGTGGGGACACCTCACTTCCAACCCACAGCCCCCTGCCCCACCAGTGCCCCTGACTCCCAGCCTGCAGCCCCTCACTCCTGACTCACAGTCCTTCACTCGCCTGGGCCATGCTGGTGCGCCTCACTCCCAACCCACAGTCCCCTGGCACTGCCAGTGCCACACACTCCCCACCCAAAAGCCCTCTGGCCCCCAGTCCCTGTCCCCCCCAAACCATAGCCACCCCCCCAGCCCTTCTGGTGCCCCTCGCTCCTGACCTGCAGCCCCCTGCTCCCCCAGCCCTGCCGGAGGCAGCTCCTAACTATCCCCACCCTAGCTGACCGAGCTGGAGCGCAGTGACTCCAATTCACGTGGAGCGAGTCCGGCCCAGGTGAAAGCAGGAGGGAAGAGGAGGGAAGGCCTATGGCACCCCACACCCTGGGCTGGGGCTCCTCTGCTAAGTGGCCTGCCCACACTGCATCCCCTCCCCCGGGCAGTGTTTCCTGGCCATCCTACCTGTGAGCATGACCACTGGCCCTGGTGCTACCAGTCCAGCCACAGAGCTCCCCCCGGCCCCTTTCCCCACTGGAGGGGAAGGCCTCCCTCCTGCCCTGCCGTAGCCCTAGAGCCCAGACAGCTTCCCCCAGTGCCATCAGGCACCCTCTGCCACTCTCCCTTCATGCACCCCTGCCATACACACACACACACACACAAAGACACACGACAGTCCCCCAAACCTAGCCCTCCAACCCCTGCTCCACATGGACTTACCTACATGCAGCTGCCAGGGCTGTTCCCACCACCCTGCCTGGCTGCATGCTGGCCACGTGCTTGTGGGTATGCATGCACACATGCATGGTGTCCTCTGCCTCCAATTGCCCTCCCCCCACTCCCACCAACAGAACAGAGCAAACTCCCGGACATTTGTTCAGATTCTGAAAAACTGCCTGGATAGAGATTGGAGGACCCAAAAAGAAGACATGTATGGGAAAACTGGACATATAGTAACCCTACTCCTCCTGTTGCACCATGCACCCTGGTTCCCCTCCACCACCACCTTACACCACACACTTGGGCATCCAGCCTTTCCTTAACCTCCCTGGCCCCAGGTTTTCCCACTGCATCAGACCTCTCAGGCACCACAGGCCACAGGCTCTCCCAGCTCTGTGGACTGAGCCATGCCCCACCCACTTTGGTCAGGGAAGGGGAAACCAGAGGGAGAGTGAGCCCAGAGATCCTGGGTGATTCTGCAGCTTGAGAAATGTTGGGGACCAGCAGCCAGATGGGAGCCTGGGGGCCACAATTTGACTGCTTATAGGCCACCAGTGGGACAGACCAGTTCTAGGTGGTAAGCAAAGCAGTTTAACCCATAGAAAAGGGTCAGATGGAAATAATTAGTATTTGGGTTACTGAAACAGAATTGGGGAAGAAAAGGAAAAAAAAAATGGATACATTTCTGGCCCTGGGGATATCTCAACCCCTCAGTAATGTGTGAAAAAATCCAGGTGCTACACACAGTGGATGTCACTTATTCTCTTTAACTGAAAAAGAATAGCAGCACTAAGCCTAACATAATATATCTGGCAAGTTCAAGGACTAAAGAGAATTTAGTACTCCGGACTCTTCCTTTTGCCTGAAAATACCAAAGGACTTTGCAAGTGAACATAAATTTAGCCTAACACTAGGTTCATCTACATGAGAAATCACTGCAACACAATAAACTCTGAAGCAGTTAGAGCTGGAGCCATTTGCCCCCGGGCGCAGCATCGACATGCGTCCCTAAGACAGCAGCAGTTTGAGCCAGGGAAGAACAGCCCCAGGCTGGCAGGAGACTCAGGGGGTGAGGGGTCAGCCCTGGGCTCTGGGTGCCAGTGTCAGGGAGCAGAGGGGCTGGCTGGGGCACGAGAGTGCTGAAGTGTGGAGCCGTGCAGCAAGCAGCCCCCGGACTTTAACACGCTCATGCCCCAACCAGCCTCTGTCACCACCTACACGTGTTTTGTCACACTCAATTACTCTGCCGTAAGACAGTACTTTCCCCAAGTTAATTTATTGCACCCTAATACCAGTGCACTTGTAGATGGTGACACTTTACTGCAGAGCTAATTAGTCAACTTTGAAGAAAAGTGCACGTGTAGATGCACCCACTGCGAGGTAAATCTCACCACCACTGCATAGCCAGGGAAACTTCAGGCATTAAACAACTTGCCTGTCTCTGATTATAATTATAACAAGGCCATAGCATGTCTACAGCAAAGATTTCCCAAGGCATGTGTCTGAACCACACTGCATTTCCCCCTTCGTTTCCTTCTAGGAGCACCATAAAATTAATCACTTCATGAAACTAGATTTTCAGCTCTACAAACATGCTTCCATAATTATTAATTGCTTTTATGATTTAATTTAGACTGAGAAGAGCCACTGGTATATTAATTGCTCTACCCACAAATCAGCCACTGTGGACTGTCTGCTCTTCAATTTCTAGGATCTATGAATTGGTCTACAAAAGTCTCCTCCTGTTCTTGTTCTTTTAACCAGTGGTCCCTGGATTCAGATACATAGAAAACATTGCAGAACAGCCAAATAATGAAAACTCTTACAAACTCTTTTGTCACTGCAGACTCCAAACAGACCGGTGGTCCAGTCTCCACCTGTCCGTACGACTGTCGTGATAGTGGACATGCTAGCCCTGCGAGTTGGCTGGGTCGTCACAGGCTGTACTGGCCTTGTGCTCCTGATTTGAAAATGAACAATAAAATAAAAGGGAGTCTTGGCTTTTATCATTGAGTTGGCTCATAAACAAAGCACTCCTGAGTCCAAGGGGAAAAAAGGGGAATTGATGATTTCAGTGTTACCAATTTGCTTTATTTTATGACAATCCCTTTCTGCAGATTCATTTCTCCTCTCACAAAATGCAGAGAAAATTTATTTGATCAACACTGCCCTTCAGTCTCTAGTGAAGAAAGAAATGAACAGGTACCAAGGGCTTCAAAAGCAAATATACAATACCCATAAAGGCTTCGGCATCCACCAACCATATCACTGCAATTTACCTCTTGAATGTTAAAGATAGAAACCTGTTCACAACACAGATCTCCTTTCCTTATGATGGACGTATCAACTCATTCATGATTTCACTGGAACAGGTTTTCAAGGCCTCAGCTACTGCTATTGATTTTCCTAGAGTAGAACAATTTAGTTTGCATGCTGATATCACTCGCTCTCTTTCCAATGTCGCATGAAACTTGACTTCCACACCAGCAGCACCCACGTTCCAGAGATGTGTTGTGAGTTACTCTTGTAACAGGATAGTCTATGCTGGATTTCCCAAGAGGTTCGGCCCAAAAGAAGCAACCAGAAGTCATGGGGCAGCAGAGCGTAAAAGTATCTTTAATTCACCTTTGTGCCAACCAGATTCTGCCTTTAGAAGAGATGGGTGCTGATGGTAGTTTAAATTATGGCAGCATCTCCCCAAATCACCTGTGTTTTTCAGTCCCTTGTGACAGATACTCCACACTGCACCCTTTCCTTCTGCTGAAACCATCCTCCTCTCTGGCATGCTCCTAGCCCTGATTCCTGGAGACTGAAGCAAGGCTAGAAAGACAAAATAGGACCAGGTATGCCCACACCAGCCAAATCATGCAGTGGGGAAATTATCTCCTGGACCTTTTGCGTCACTGCTATGCCCCCTACATGCCACTAGAGCAACATAAAGAAGCAACACATTGGGGGACAAACACCACTGCCTAGGTGCCATGCTTGTTTCTTGCAAATGGGAAAGTAAAGCCAGTAGGTTCAATCCTGATTTTAAAAAAGCAGGAGTTGGTAACCGGCCTGTCTGGTTTTTTTTAACTTTTATTTATTAAAATGCTCTGAAGGCAGATTAACTTTCCTCGATATTGTTGTACCACCTCCCTTGAAATTGAAACTGCAAGGACATTGATAAAATGCATTGAGAGGGTTGATTGGTTTCTCTGGCATTCCGGTAAAGTAACCTGCCTGTTTGCTGAAATGCTCTTTTGCTTCTTCCTAGAGCAATGCTACTTCACTCAACCTAAAATGTACTGTATGGGAACTATTTTGTTACCTGGTTTCTCCAGCAGTGGAAGAACATAGCAGTCCTCGTGGTAAATTAGAGCATCAGTCCTATCTTCAGATACCAACAGGGTCTGCTCTAAAATTATGTAAATCAGGAAGGACAGCCTGTATCAGTTTGCAGGATTTGTTTTCTTTGTGAGAACATACAACAATCGGATAATAGTTTGACTGTAAGGAAATCATATTCTTAAATTAGGATTTGCAGCATGGTCTCACAGAGTGGAGCAAAGAGCCAAGATTTACTCTCATGGTTCAAGCATCCCTTTCCATTTGCGAGCGTCCTGAGGGAAGAAACACTGTAGAATTCAGGAATCTGATGAAGAATCATGGCTTCTGCTTGAAAGCCACACCTGATCTGGGCACTTCTATATCCCCTCTTGTCATGATGCCAGGAACTCATACGTTGGGTCAGCATAGAGGAGCTCTGGTAGCATACTTAGTGCCTAAATGATTAAAACTCCAAAGGATGGTTGGTGGTTCCCTCTCCCAATGACATTTAATGCCTCTTCAGAGGCTCCCAGCACCATGGACCTCTGCAAAGCACAAAGAAAGGAGGGGATGGTGCAGTAGAAACAATTAACCTCCTCCTCATCTGTCTACATGAGGAAAGCTGTTCTCCATGTGCATCATGGAAGAACAGTCCAGCCCTAGGCTGTATGCTCAGCATTGCAAAGATTCTTCTCAGGTTAGCGATACCCTTACAATACCACACACAACAGTTTCTAAGCTATTAAATAGGGATAAAACTTCCTTCTCCCACATAGGCCAATTTTAATGCTGAGCCCCTTGAAAGAGTAAAGCAGCATCTAAAAATTAAAAAAAACAACAACAAAGGTTGTTACAGACATTCAAAACCCCTGAAGCAGAATCAATCTAAGTTGCAGCTTCTTTAAGTGGCGTAGTTCAGTTTGGTAGCAAACAGAACATACATTTGTCCTTTGGGTGGCGGGGGGGAGAATCTTAGACTGGACTCTGCCATTTTTAAACCAATCGATGTGTGCTGAACCTCTGTTCTGTTATGGGTATAGACCCGTTTTGTGTGCTGAACTTCTGTTCTGTTACAGGTACAGACCAATTTCTGATCACTTATACCGGTAAAAGTGGGCCGACTTGTGTTTGTTTCTCAATAAGGGGACTTTTCAAATCAGCAACCAACTTGCATCTCTAACATCTAGGTGATAATTTCAGATAGTTTCTCCTCTTGGTGTAGAATAAACTCATCACAGATTAAATAATCCTTCTAAAACAGTAAGTCACTATTGCAACATAGCTACTGTGCTTTAATCAAAGATTCTGTACACTTTGTTGGTATCAAACAGTCAATAGCTTTCTCTTTCCTGGCCAGCAAAGTCTAAGGACCGAATCAACTTCTTTCAGCTGAAATCCTAAAAGAACTGTGTAAGAAGTCTTATCTAAACTTCATGCAAGGAACAGACTTCTGTGCATCACTATACACTGCAGTGCAGATTAATTTGTCACCCCCTGCAAGGCATTTTACATACAGATATATGAAAGCCAACTAAGGAGCAAAGAACAGTCACTTCATTTTATATCTTACCTTGAACCATCAAGGAAGAAAGCCCCATCTTCAGGTGCTGTCAGGGAAAGGATCAATGGCAATTGCATCTCAGGCAATGAAACTTCCTCAGTAGCACTGAGACAGTGACATCCAAACCTGTTCATTTCACAATAAGGGAAATGAAGGATCAGGGGTAGGAGGGTGGAAGTGAGTCTTTGAATCCAAAAGAGAGAGGCATCTCACAAGTGTGCTGAGTAGAATGATGATGACATCACAGCATTCTTAGTCCTGATGTCACAAGCAACCTGCCCTGACCTCCCAGCACGTTTCACACCCGGCCCTAACAAGATCTCTTCACACGACAGCCGAGGACAGCTGTGCTGCTTGTAAAGCCTAAATGCTGCAGATGAGAGTGCTTTAAAATGAGGAATAGCTAAATACAGACTTGAAGCTTACATTAATGAAAGCTCATCTAGATTCCCTTGAATAAGAACTGCTGATCAGCATCCATACATGGTTTTGCTATAGGCTTGGCCCCAGTTAATGCGTGTGCTTATTGCATAAATATCTGCTTGTTTCAATACAATCAGTACTTTCACAGTGGTTAAACTAATACGAATTACAGTGCACAATTAGGGTGATACTGTTCTACACAATATGAAGCAAATTTACAGTGATTTATTCAGAGGCAATATGAGAAAATACTTGCCAAGTTGGGGGGGAGAGAAGAGGAGGAGGGAGGATGAAGGAAGAAGAAACTATCATTTAATACTGGCAGAGGGCTCTGAAAACTAAACATTATATCAAATAAACTTTGAAGGACAGAGATAAACCAGTCACAGGAAATGAAGTACAAACAGATTTAACACTTTTAAAGCTTTCTCTATTAATCCAAATTCTACCAATACATCTATTTACAAAGCCCCCCTATTTCACTAATATATGGAATCTAGCCTGCTAACAAATTCCCTCAGTGTTTTGCTACCTTTTAAAGTCAGACAGATGTTGGGCAAGTGCCTCTACAACAGACCCACAGTTCACACAGAAGGGATCAGTTTTATGCCTCTTTTATAAGTAGGCCTCCCACATTGCCCTTGATGATATGAACTCATTTTTTTGGCAGGAAACATGTGGAAGACAGCTTGCTCTGAAATTGCAGTTTTTCTTGCATCTTCAAGGACAGGCACTTGATAGGGATCAGCAAGCTGCATTCACTTCACTTTGGAGATCTAAGAAGAAAGAGGAAAACTATTTTCAGTTTGGGATTTATTTTTAGATTGGGTGAAATGGATAGATTTCAACAATCTGTCTTGGCTTCAAGTAACAGTCATACTAATTTGTGCTTCCATAGGACTGTTCAGAAACTCTTGACATTTTTACAAACATTAATTAAGCCTTACAGAACGCACAAGAGGGAGGAAAGCATTCCTGTACGTAGGGATACTGAGGCACAAAGGAATTAAGGATACTTACCCAAAGCTACACAGGAGACCAGCGACACAGCCAAGAATCTAAAGCAGAAGTCCTGATCTTGCTCCATACCACTGAACAACAGTACTTTTAGCTAATGATGACTATATTCCAAACCTGTATTTGTGTTTTTCTTGTAATCTATTCCCCAATCAAAAATGACCTAAGTGAAATTTTCCCAGCAAGACTTATGTAAGGCCTTACTTATATCACTGGTATAGCGATTCTAACATTGTAATAAATCTCTTCATCTCATCACTAGATTTTGAGAGACAGAAATTGCACAAGTACCTGCATAACAGTGACATCTCCTGGAAACAAACAAAACGAGATTGGAAATCAGTTTAGCTTATCGGTTGCTTCCTGTGCATTTAAAACCAGATGGTCTGATGTGCATGAGAAATGTATTTCTCTTGTTCATTTTTGCTCCCTAGCAAGGTAGGGAAGGGGAACTCCACAAAGCCAAACACACCTAATTTTTCTCCTGGGAGCCATATTTAAAAATTGCATAGAGAAATAGCGCACTGTACCAATAAAGAATTGATTCTTTGTTCTCAAGATAAGCATTAAAACAAACAGAAGTTATTAAATGACAAGGAGAAAGAACCTTTGCTGTTAAAAGTTTTGGGATCAAGGCCAATTTGCCCTGCTCGTCTTGTCTGTTGCCAGTCAACCACTGCTTCCAGATTTATTTTTATTTATTTAGTTTCCAATTTCTGGATCCAGTAAAGCTGACTTCAAGAAGCAACAGTGCTGTGCCTTTAAATAAACATTTTTGATCAACTTGCTTCTACCTTCTGGCCTGAAAAATACAT